CCTAACCTCTGAGACTCAGCGCACCATTTTAGTAGTGACTCTGACTCCCTGGTGTTTATATACTTCGGTGGCGGAAGTTGCCAGAACCCAGAGATCTGGCACCATGTTCCCTACCTCAGTCATTCCTGGGTTCTTGGATTGCTGACAAGTGCTTCTTAGAATGTGTATTCAGCAAATATGGCCCGGGGTCTACTGTGTGCCAGGACACACCTGGGGGGCTGCAAATGCGTTTTTCAGGAGGGCAGGAGGAAGAGGCGGTGATTTGTACATCCTTCTGCTTGGCCTTGTCTTGCTTTCGAGTCTCGAGCTTGCTGCTTATCCACCTTGATGGGCAGACAAGGTTCTAGGCTGAAGCATGCCGTCCCTGCCCCTCTGGCGACTGGAATTTTAAGGTCTCCAAAGGGAACCAGCCTGCACAGGAGAAGCATCCGACAGGAACATTCACTAAGTGTTGCATTTGTTCAGTTAATGGAACTCATTCAGCATTATATTTGAGTATTGGGGTTCAGTTTCTTTAGGAAGAAACAACCCGATAACTGCCGGGTGGTAGACAGTCTGAAATCTACTGAAGAAGTGCCAGACTCCGTCCCCATCCTTGAAAAGAGCAGTACAGACTCACGTATGTCACTTTGCACTTTCCCGAGCCTCTTCGTACCTTGGGAGGTAAGGAGCTGGTGACGTCCTTGCTTCGCAGGGGAGGACAGGGCTCTTGGAGGGGACAGATGAATGAGTCCACAGCAGTGGCGCCGAGGCTCGTTCCCACTCACTGCCATGCCGTGGGGGAGCCCCCAGCTAAATGCTCACCACGCCTTTGGCGCTGATAACTGCATCTCGGCCAGCGGTCACGAGCATGGCTGGTGTCAGCCTGCCTTTGTCAGGGCCAGCTCCTTTGCCTTTCTGTGCCTCAGTTCCCCAGCTTTAACAGGAGCATAGTGCCAATTGTCCCTTCATACAGTGGTTGGTAGCACTCACTGAAGGCCCCAGGACCCCAGGTAGCAGCCCACAGAAGGGCCTCCCTCGTCGGAGGGCCAGCACCCGTGTGGACTGCCTGCCTGTACAGAGCCCCTAGCGCAGCGTCTGGTTCGTGAGGAGGCTGCCTGGCGGTAGGCGATGACCGGCCTCCTCAGTGTCGGGGTGGTGGGGGAGCCTCGGCGAAAGTGCTTACCTTGTAGCAACAGTAGTGGGAAAACAGAAAGCACGTCCAGCCTGTCGCTGGCGTCGCTCCTCCCTTTTGGTGCTGGGAGGTGGTTTTAAGAGCAGTGGCTACCACTTTTAAGGTGTCAGCAGTGTGCCAGGTGACTTGGATTCCTCGTCTCTAATCCTGTGAGGAAAATACTCACATCCTTAATTTATTGAGAGGCTGACCCTCGAGAGAGGAGCTGCTGCTGCTCACTTATCGGTGACATCGATGTCACAGGAGAGAATGAGAATTGCTGGGAGGTGCAGGAAGGACCGCAAGAACGGACTGTGGGCGTGCCAGCGACGGGGAGAAGGGAATAGTGGGGTTCATCAGACGGAGGGGGAGCTGGGACAGACCGGGATCTCCGGGGTTGGTGCAGCACGCTTTGGGACGGGACGGGCAGGTGGACAGGGCCTCAAGGCAGAGCTCCCAGAGCAGGGCAGGAAGCAGGGGGCCTTGGGAGCTCTAGGGTGTATACTGACTTCACTTGGGCGGCTGCAGCCTGAACTGAAGCCCACTCCTACGCCCCCAGGTTGGTGTTGCTCTGTGAATGTCAAAGCTGAGTCCTCAGGGGGACCGGCACTTTAATCACAGTCGGGTTTTCTCGGTGTGTAGACCCTTGTCCCCCAGGCCCTCCCTTCGCCTGCCTTCCTTGTAATTGTCATGTGGCTCCGAAGGAGGTAGCAAGGACACTTGGAGCCACGACCAGGCTCCCACTGAGGGAGGCCTGCCGTGGGCTGCAGCCGGGGCTCCTTGGGCCTCCATGCCCCATCTCGTTGAACCCTCACCGAAACCTGGTGGAGTGCAGCTCGGGAAACGGGGGCTCAGGAAACTGAGTGGCTTTGCCATGGGCACCTAGCTCGTCATGGTGCCCATGGTGCCCGAGAGCTAGCGTCGGAGGCTTCCATCTGCAGTATTTCGCCTGCTCGTCGGGCAGGCGGTCTTCAGTTCTTCCTCTCACTTTCTCTGTCTGTTTGGTTCTTTCAGGCCTTGCCTCAGTTTCCTCTGTAGGATTCTGTCTGCTGGTTTCTGACCTCTTAGAGGAGAATGAGCAGTTCAGTGCGACCCGTGTGAGATCTGCGAGGGTTCAGGAGGAAAATGTCGTCAGTTCTGAACCGCAGCCAAGTCAGAACTGAAGAGATGGTACTGAGCTTCCAAGTGTCGTTTCTGTCAAGTCCAGAATGCCTTGGACAGTTTTGCAGGAGATTTGCCTTTCTGATTCGGTTTTACTTAGATTAATGATGATGTTCATGTGTCAGCTCGGAGAATGGATAAGTGGGGAGGTGGGGATCAAAAACGGGCGGATTCGTGCGAGGGAGCTGGTTCAGCTTTACAGTGAACTCTAAATAGCACACAAGGATAGTCGAGCCTCCTAGAGTCATCAACTCTTGGGCTATGGCTACACAGGATGCCAGCTTGGCCCTCGTACAGCTGCGATCTTGGGAATGTCGCAGTCACTGAGGATAGAGCTGTGGGGACTGAGGGACTGAGGGAAATAGCAAGTTGCCGCTGTGTGGCTGGGGCGAGGAAAGTTGGTTTTTCCTTGTTCTCTCCGGTCAGCTGAGAGCAGCCTCGTGGCCGATGCCCTCTGCCGCTCCAGTGTGTCTCGGTCTTGTTACTTGGCAGGGCGTCTCTTCTCAGTGATTCGGGTCCTCGCTCCCAGAAGTCTACTGTGTCTTTTCATGCCGAGCTCAGTGGCAACCACTTCTTGGCACGTAATAAATCTTGTGCAGAACTGATCTTCCATTAGTGTCTAAACCACGGCTGAACCCAGGCAGAAATGAATTCCTCTGCCTGAGCTTTTCGGGTGTCGAGCTGCTTCTCCGTCCAGAGCAGGCGCTCACTCCTCCCTGCACCTGCTCCTTGGGGCTGGCCCGGCAGCCCACCCAGTGGCTTGATTGCGTCACTTTGAGATTCGCCTGAGCCAGAAGCCTGGATTCCCTGGAAGATTCTGGAGCAGAGACCTGCTGCTCTGGGGAGATCTTTTGCTGCAGCAGACATGGGCCGACGTGCTTCCAGGGGGACCCTGGCTAAGGGCACAGAAGTCTACAGAAAAAGGGGGTGCTGTGAAGTGTGAGTGACTCCAGGGCCAGGCCGGAGTAGCCTGTCTGGCCTCTGGGATAGCCCCGTGGTTAGAATAACCTGCTGCCCTAGTGACCACAGAGCAGAGATCCAGCCCGCGTGCTGGCGGGAAGAATGCGCGGGCGGCTTGCGAGCAGGTGGCTTCGAAGTTCCACAGTCCATTCTCTACTTTGAATTTGTCGGTGTTACAGTGCCGTGTTCACCTTTGGAAGCTCTGAATCCCACCAGAGTAAGCCCTTTTAATTAGCAATTAGATCTTAGGCTATAGGATACCTGATTTATTTAAACTGGAGATAGTTTTTAGAAAACATCTTGGTACGGAAAGAACATTACTATAGCCAACAGGCAGAGTTGGTGTCGAATGCTGGTCTCCACCATTTGACCATGGGCAAGTTACTTAACTTCCCCAAGCATCAGTTTTCTCAAGATAAAGTAGAGATCAAAGTAATGATATTAATAATTACTATATATTAATAATTGCATTATTATTATTTACTAGGTCCATAGCACTTACTATGGGCCATGTATTGTTCCAAGCTTCTGTACGTATTGCTTCATTTGACCCTTGCAGCAATTCTGGTTCCCTTATTGTCTCTCTTTCATGGATAAAGCCATTGGGGCACAGAGGGGTTAGGTCGCCCAGCCAGTGAGTCACGGGTTTGGGATTGGAGCCCAGGCAGCCTGACTCTAGAGCCTGTGTTCCTTATTATGGTTCTAGACTGTCTCACAGGGAATCGTGAGGATTAGATGTGATAACATATGGAAAAGTACCTGGAAGAAAGTCTCGCACCTCATAGGTGTAACGTATAGATCGCTCGCCCCACCTCGCCTGACCTGCTCCCTCCCATCTCTAAGCCGTGGCTTGGGACTCATTAGAGTGGTTAGGAAAGTCGGATCTCTGGCTGCATGATCTGAACACAGGGTGATGGAAAGGAGGGTGGAGTCTCCTTTTCAACAAGAAGCAGGTTGTCTCATCTGGCTGCGGACAGGTCGTTCCGTTAAAGTGATTTGCGCTTCTGAATTCGCGGGGGTCCTTCAACTTCTTCCTCCTGCAGGGGAATAACTACCCTGTTACCCTCACTGGATCGAGAACATCGCATCTGCACTCAGAAATTGCCAATCTAGCTTGTTTGTCTTTACTCTTTCTAGCTGGCTCTCACACAGACGGTGTAAGAATGAACTGGTCTGAATTTGGGGCTTCAGTGGCTGAGACAAGTCAGTCATTGGAGGGTGGGATGGGCAATGCCTGACACAGTTGGAATGTGCTGGAATCCGTGTGGAGAGTGGAGTCAGAAGTGGGGTTATTTCCACTCACATCTTACCCCAGGTCCTAGCCCTGCTGGGTGGGTAGGACAGGTTGGGACAGGGCGAGCCTGGAGATTCAGGGACTCTGCCTGTTCTCACATGCTCTCTGTCACCTTCTCTGAGGGATGAAGAACATTTAGGAAGTGCATCATTCTGTTGATCTAAGAACATGACCCGTTCATCAGAAAGCTCTTTGAACTCTTTAGCAAGACGTTGAGAAGGTTTACTTGGTATTGGCACAAATACATGCATGTAACAAACGCATAAGTGTCCGTGCCCAGAATCTGGAGTTTATCGGCCTCTCCCACCGAAGGGAAACGTTTTAGACTGTTCCATACGAAGGCAGTAATGGAAATGGAAGTGGTAAGATGGAGATGGCTTGCTCTTTTACCTTGGCAGTTTAAACACCACAATGATATGTTTTTCTTTTTAGGGTTGTCCCTGGATTTTGAGCATCTGACGCTGACCTCTGAATCTGAGCATCCCCTGCTGCTCCCTCACCCTTCGGAGAGATGTCTGTCACTTACGACGATTCCGTTGGAGTAGAAGTGTCCAGCGATAGTTTCTGGGAGGTAATGCCCATGTTTTCTCCTCCACGGTGCAGAGACCAGGCTGATAGACTTTTGGGGGGGCAGGGATAAGGGAGTATGAGATGAACAAACCCCCCAAATTTTCCAGCCAGGCATTTGTGGGCAGCAGGTACAGCTGGGCTATCAGTGAAGGTGGTGAGCTCACCTTGCTAGAAAAGTCTGAAGCCCAAAGAGGTTAGAGCTATTTTAGAGACCTTGTCAATTTGTCCATTCTCTGATCTTTTTCATGTTTAGCTCTGATGCGACTTGGAGTGACATACACTAATCACTGGGCTTAGCCTGAGAAGCAGCTTTGCTTTTGGGTATTATATAGAAAAAAGGGACAATGGTGATGGATGTGACATCATGCTGGACATTGCAAGCAAGAGGCCAGAGGGCTGAGCAAACTGCATCTTCCTGTCTGTGCCTGCGAGGAACCCCTTTCCTGATTAGATTGTTTCATGGGTTTTGGTAGTCATTCCTCCTGCGCCCCACTTACTGTCCTGCCTGCTGGTTAAAGGAAAGTCCATTTTTGATCAAATTTTGTTCTTGTGGCAAAACTCTCTAACTTTCCCAGCAGCTGGGGGCTTGGTGGAAAGAGCGCCGGCTTTGCGTTTGTAAAGATCTGGGTTCTGATCCCAGCTGTGCCTTTACTAGCTGCGTGACCTTGGGCAAGTTGCTCGGCTGATCTGGACCTCGGGGTCTTCATCTGTATTGCCAGGATGAAATGAGAACGTAGACAGTGGCACCATGTGGCCGCTTTCCTGACACAAGGGGCTCGAGAGAGCAGGTGCAGGAGAGGAGGACAAGCATGGAGTAGTTTCATAGACTTAGGCTGATTGGGTATATAATTTTGTCTGATATCAAGTACCATCTGCTATTATAGTCTAATAGACACATGATCACAGGTGACCAAGTTTAGAAAATATGGACAAGGAGCTCAAAATTCTACCAATACTTTTCTTTCCTTTGAATTGGGAAAAGGTCAGTACTGATTTTTAGCTGAATACATCATTTTATTTTAAGTATGTGTTTATTGAACACCTGCTGTGTGCTAGGCCCTCCGAGGTTCCAGCAAGGAATGTGACAGTCTGAGTCCCTACCCTTAAGCAGCTGGCTTCTGGGGGATTGGGAGTAAATTGAAAAGCAGAGAGGATGCCCCTTGGCTGGTGACAGCCTTCCTGGTGAGTATCCAAGCCAGAACACGCACACACACGACATAAAATCTGTTCCTGCAGACTGCGTTTACATCATTGTAATTACCCAATGGATGGCAGAAACTGCTCTGGAAAAATGAAGTAGCTAAACAGTGCTATTACAGAAGTCTTCAGCTACTTGGTAAAAAAAACATCTAGGTGAACGTTGCCAGTACATATTGTCAGCATATATTAAATCAAGTAGCTTTAACAAGTCACTGATTTAAGCTCTTAGGCTCCTTACTGAAATCTTGGCCGCAATACTGTCAGTAGACGAGAACATCGCCTTTTGCCTGAAGAATGCGAAGGCGAGTGGGTTTATTTTCCAGGCGGGCTCTGCTCGTCTTGTGACGCGTTCCCTGGAGTTAACCCCACAGCCTGTGTCAATCAGCAGTGCTGTCGTCTCCTCCTTTGCTGTGGATGTTCGCTGACTGGCGGAGCGATCGCTCAGTCCTAGCCGGCCCTCTGGCTCTGAGTGACTCAGGTGCTCGCTACCAGCTGCCTGCAAGTTCCCTCTGTCCCATGGAAGGCAACTTCTCCGTGGTGTGTGTGACACTCAACGGGGTGCACAAATCTAAAGAAAGCCACATGGTCTCAAGGTGGAAGAGTCTTTTGTGCGTAACTGTACTCTTTTCCACCCAAAGCCAACTGGAGTGAGCCATCAGAACCGTCTGTGTGCTGGCTGTGTGCCTGCACAGGCGGAGCATGGCCCTGCTCTCTGGGAGTCTTTGGCTGTGACATTTGGAGGTCACCTCCTCGAAAGACACCGACACTAGGCAGATCACTGTAAGATGCTGTAGGATGTGCTGGGGTACACGGGGGGGAGTGGGGCTTTCCCGGGGGAGGGGCAGGAAGATGCACAGGCTTGGTACTTGGAAAGCAGTCACATGTCTGCCGGATGAATGAGTGAACAGGCACTGAGCTTGGGGTGCGGGGGAGGGTGGAGACGACCCGCAAGGACAGAATATCAAATAGGAATATTTAGAGGGGTCGCTTTCTGTGTTACCTAATACTATAGTAAGATTTGGAAAACAGAAGAGAGCGATCTGATTCCCACAATGCAAGCGTTTATAATGTAGCAGGGAGGAGAAAGGCCGGTGGCCTCTATGGAGTATGAGGGCAGTAGGGCCAAGCCACAGCTGTGCCTCTCAGTGACATGAGTTCAGAGAAGGGGCTGGCATCACCAGAGAAGGCATAGGGGGTAAGTAGGGCTGGGCTTTGAGTTGGAAGCAGGGAGACGAGATCGCGTTTCAGGCTGGAACAAAGTCTGGAGGTTGGGACGAGCATGGCCTTGCAGAGGGCTGAGGACCTTGATCTCTTTGGAGCCCAGGGCCTGTTTTGGAGGCGAGAAGTCATGCATGATTGGGTAGGATACAGCTGAATGGAGGCTGTGCCCCAAGTGGCGGCTCCTTCAGCAAGTCGGAGCGTGGGTGGCACAGTCGCTTCTGACAAGTCTTTTGGTTTCCTCTGGGAACCGATGGGCCCTCCCACTGCACTCTCCGCTCCCAGGCCCTGCTTCTGTGTCTTTGTCTTGGGGGCTTGTGTGTAGAGAGAGCCTAGTTGCAGGCAGTGGGGCTTTTCAAGTGTCACCAGCAGTTCTTAGGACAGCCTGACTTCCTCTGCCCCTGGTGGGCTCTGGGCACATGGTGTTGGGTTCGATCTGGTGGGCCTGAGGGCTACTGCCGAATCTCTGAGCTCTTGGGGGACCAGACTTGGAAGGCAAACAGCTAATTTCAGGAACGGGGCCCTCACTTTGCCTCGTCCCCGAGGCGGGACTTCTGCTCCGCCATCAGCAGCGTCTGCGTTTACAGCTCACATCTCGCTGGTGCAGCCAGGTGGGGCTGACGACCTGTGCTGCGCTCTCTGCATGCACGGAGCTCTTGATGAGAGCGTCTGAGGACATAAATATCTTGCTGTAAACTGTGCTGGGGGTGTTGGCCCTGAAGAACTGGCACTTGACCCTCAGTCTTTACCATCTCCTTTTGAGAAGGTTCTCCCTACAGGCGCCTCTCACTGTGAGCCCTGTGGAGACAGCACAGGACCACGTGCGTTGCCGTTTTGCCTGGAAGGCCGTCCGTGTGGAATGGTGTGCACTTTCCCATCCTTCTAGACCAGTGCTGTAGGTAAACTATGTAGACGATGCCGCTGCCCCATGTTCATGGGTTCCATGGCGTCTGATTTCACACCTGCCAGGGCCTAGGCCCTGGGCTGAGTCCTGGGGTCCCGAGATGAGTGCACAGTCTTGGGACCCCAGAGCCAACGTTTGCTGTGATGGGCAGTCACAGGGTCGCCGGCGAGCTCTGCGAGTGGAAGCACGAGGAGTGTGAAAATAAATGTCGCCTCACACTCGACTGCAGCCATCCGTTCTGTTTGTTCCCCACGCCCCCTCCCACACACACACAGACCTGTGCGATGGCCTGTTTGTGGGGGTCAGCCCCGTGGGGGCAGTGTGCGTGAAGCCCTCGTCTGTGGGCTCCTCGGGCACAAGTTGTGGCATCAGCTTCCCTGTAATCCCACTGTTCTGGGCGTAGCTCCGAGCAGGCTGCCTTAGTTCACTAATGATTCTGAACAGAAGTAGTAACTCGTCCTTTCAAGCAAACTAGTATCTGCTGAGCCATGACCACAAGTTGGGCCACTGGCCCCCCCCATGCATTTGTGTTCAGTCTGTTCTCCCCGCTCTGCAGCCAGGGCAGCCCATCCAAAAAGCAGACCTGAATGATTCCCTGTCCTGAGTGGGAAGCTTTAGTTTTCTGCATCACCTTCAAAGTAAAATCACACTCTTTAGCATGACTAAGACAGGGGTTGCCCTCGCCTGGCCCTTCCTGAGGGGCTCTGCCCTGGGCTACAGCCAGGCTGAGCCCCTCACCCCCCATGCTCCAGAAAGAGTTGCCTCCTTGCCTGGGAGAGTGGTGGTCTTTTTTCCAACCCAACCTCTGTTTCTTTCACAGGGAGCTCCTCCTCCAGGCAGCCTTCCCTGACTCCTCCTGGCAGGCTTGGGCAGCTTCCTGCCTGCCCATCCAGCAGGTTGTTCCTTGGGCTGTGAACTCCCTGAGAACAAGGATGGAGTCTCACCAGGGTGTCTGAGACATTGCGTATACCCGACACACTGAATAATTGCTGATTGAATGTATGAGTGAATCAGAAAAGATGAGGTTTAATGCTTGGTAATAAGACATGCCTTGCTCAGAAGAAGCTTATAAATATTTGAAATTAAAATGTGCATGTAAATAGCCATAATACTGAGCAGAAATCATTCGGTAAACATTTATAGCACACCTGCTCTGTGCCAGGCCCTGTTCTAAGGCCTTGGGCATATAGCAATACTAAAACAGACAAAGTGACTTAAACAGTCCAGATCAAATGCCCGAGGATGTGGAAGGGGACCCTCCCGCCGGAGTGGGCGGTGCGCCTTTTTGCCGTATCCCCTGCATGGCTGTGTACACTCTGGGAGGCCATCAAGCTGTGTGCACATAGCTGTATGCGTATAGTCTGGGTACTTCTCTGCAGGAATGGTAACCTACAGCAAAAAGTTTAGAAATAAGGAACTGATCGTGGCTAGCATGATCGCACTCTGCTCTGTGCCATACTCCTGCTCTGGCTTATATGGCTGCTCTCAAGCCTCACAACTGCCCTCTGAGATTGTGGGGAAACTGAGGCTTGGGGGCTTGACACTGCTCAGCTTCACAGAGAGTAGGTGGCGGAGCAGGATTTGGGCCCAGGCACCTGCTCAGATCTTACTCCCAAGGCAGAACAAGTAATAACGTAGAGAGAGGGGAAGGATGTTTAAATAGTTATTACAGAACCGAA